TACTAACTAGAAACGAACTAACTCTAACAATTAGTAGTGTAGGTGTCGAACTACTATATATATATATATATATTATATATATATATATATATATATATATCACTATATTTGCTTACATCCGCACGTCCATCCCTAAACACATACATCTTATATATATATATATATATATGCATGTATGTATGTATATATTTTAAGTACCATATATATATATATATATTTATAAATTTTGTGTGTGTTTGTGATATGTGTATGTATGTATGTATATATGTATGAATGCTTGCACGCACATATATTTATGTATGTATGAATGCACGTACGCATGTATGCATATTCTTACATATATATATATATATATATATATATAAGTATATGCATATATGTGTACGTGCATTTGTGAATATATTCATACAGACATATATATCCATACATACATATATATGTGTGGTGTGTATATATATGAGTATGTATGCGTGCATATATACATATATTTATGGACAGAGAATCATTATATTGTGATAAATATTTGTAAATAGTTGCATTTTTATTTGAAATTAAATAGACTACTTGTTTTATATATATATATATATAGTTGCTATTTCTAATTTAAATTTGTATGTATTATTTTTATGATATATATATAATATAAAATTTAATATATATATATATAATATAAAATTTGATATATGTATGTATACATGCATGTATGCAGTTATTTATTTTTGTTCTGTTGTGTGTACTAACGCATTATTATTTTGTTTTCTTGTACATTAGTTTTATATTTCTGTATATATATATATATATTTAATGGGAGTGTAGTTGATATTGTTGGCGTCTATGTGGCGATTTTTATATTTAAGAACGATAATGCAAATTAACGTAATTTATAGAAGTGTACTTTGAAGTCTTACCCTATGTTGATAGCATGCAGGAAAATATATCGTAAAGTTGTATTTTGAAGTCCGATTGGGTGAAACTGTGTGTAGTATGTTTATAGCGAATAAAGATTTTTAATATATAACGTATGTATATGTGTGCCATATTGCGTGATGCAACGTTGAGTGAAGTAATCTGCATGTGAACAGTCTTACACATAAATTGATAATTTTACAAGACACCAGCGGCAAAACAATGATCTGCTACATCTTATATTTATATGTATATATATATATATATTGAGATATTGAGATATGCAAAATTTGAGTCTGTACACTATGTATGTATATAAATGAATAAATATGACAAATGGTTGAAAGAAATTTGACGAATGTTCACGCCTTGCTAACGACATGCACACACTATGAAATCGATGTCCTGTATGTTTTATGAGCATATATGTATGCTTTCTATGTATAGATGGATACAGTGCCTAAATGGAACATATGCATATGTGCTACAATCGCAGTTAATTTTTATGAATATATTGTACATGATTTTACTATATATACCTTTATTGGGTGTCGCATGCATTGGTGTAAGCCTCTCTTCCAGTCTATTAGTGATATAAATACATTATAGGCGCCATATACGACAGTGCATTTGCATTTGCAAGCTATTGATAACGATTGAACGACATATAAAAATAATGGAAGGTCAAACGGATAAGTTCACAACAACTACTAGACATATTTCTCATCTACTCGTGTATACCAATCAGCATGTCTATTCGCTACTCCTGAAATCATCCAGATGTAATGACATGTGGACGCCTGTGAATTCGTTGCTAGTTCATTGTATATTGTCCTTACTGCTGCGTGTACTATGCCAATACGTGTGCGCTTCGTCAGTTGAATACTTTTTTGACTGGCTGACTTATGTAGTACTATTCATTTCTCGATTTTGTAGATACATCTGGCTATTCTCGAAAAGCACGAACCGATTCAACAAAGTAGCCTTCCTAAGTGCTGTCGGGCACCTTCATCTATACATGAACTATCCCCTGGTAAGTGCTGTACATTTGTGCCTCTGCCTATAGCTATATAGCGCTATGTGTCTTGCTCTTGACAACTATATCCGAAAGTGTGCTGTGCCACCAGTCCAATGGCGCCTGCATTATCAAGAAGAACATCTGCATGTCTACACAAGAGCCCCTCCGCAAGCAATTTACGAGAGTAATATATATAGAGTTATACTTGCTAACGTATATGCAATGGCACGATATCTGCATTGAGAATTGTTGGCTGTCCTTTTCTTCAGCTTGCGAGGCGTATTCTCACGGGCTCAGCAATCACCGTCTTACTCGCAGCATTGTACGAATTGAGCATCGCTACTTCCGGCGCACGTGTAGAGCTCAATTTACTTGTTAATGTCGAGTTCGTGGGCAGACTGTTTGTTAACACTCCACTGACTTATCGTTCCCCTTGTTTTCCCGCCACACGGTTACGTTTCGCGCGTGTAGGAGTTCCACTACATAACCTTCAGCATCACCGTGACATGGCTGTGTCTCAAGTTGCTAGGCCCCAATGTGGCAATGTGCACGGTCAACTCAGTGTTCAACATGGGTTTTCTGCTGTACGCCTACAGGTACGTCAACAATATCTGCTGTATCTATCTACACGCTTACGCAAAATACAAGTGTGCGATTCGCACATGAATCCGTAAACTTGCAATATCGCCCGGGAATGCAAGTCTGTGCATACACACGCATGTGTACACCCGAAGGTACCCATGCAGAAGCACTGTGGGAGCACGGGTGTCGATTCAGCTATGTGTTGTTATTACTCGCTTTACTTTGCAGCTTCGTATGCTAGCGCATATAATAACGCAGCCACGTGTACGAACTCACAGATGTGTACGGTATACTTCTGTCAGCTAATACATCTCGTCCGCACAGAATCACATGCCACGGTTGAAGATTTTGCATATTCGTGAGTCACGTGTGCTATTGCTGGCAATCGCACCTACACACACATCTACCATTGGCAGTATTTGTGCGTGCGCAACAATGTATACGTCTGTTGACATGTTTACCTACCTGTCCATATATGTTGACATGTGGCAATGCGCAGCCTCTGCTTCGGGCCAGAACGTGTTGTTATGCCAGCACCAGTTTACAGACTACTCGGTTGCACAGCTCGCGTCATCTGGGGTTTGTTCTGCGCAGGATATGAACAGCTGTTCAAGTGACGCATTTGCGTACACCTGTTGTTCGTTCGCGAGGAACCAGCCACTGAAGTCCGAATCATATGCGCATGTAATCACCTTAAACCGTAAATCCTCTCAAATCGATGTATTCCCTTTGCTGTTGCAGATGCTACGAAACAGACGACTACGACATCAATTGGACCACTGCACAGTGCGTGATGTGTCTGCGAAATATCAGTATGTTCTTCTCTTATCCGTGAGCTAAGCGAATCTGGTTTTCGTTTACGATTGCTTGCAGAGAAATGTTTACGAGCGCTTTTATAAGCTAACCTGTGCACACAGAATAATGTTGTATCGCTGTAATGTTTAGTTGTGGGTGTGGCACATTGGCGTAAGCGAGAGAATGAGTACAAATAGGTGCACTATGGAGATGAATGGATCGAGGAGAGTTGTTACGGGTTAATTCGAGAGAGAAAAATACTCAAAGTATAACATTATCAACTTTGGTTTCACGAGGAGCTTTTCTTTTGGTTATGGGATTAGGCACAAAACAATTGATTACCTATGATATGTGAAGCGAACATGTATGTGAACAAGAGACTGTATCGTTGATGTAGACAGAACACACACACGTGTGTGTGTTTTGATTCGTTTAAATTTTAGTGTATGTATGTGTTTATCTATTACAATGTGATTCTAGCATTGAAGATTTTTCTAAATAACAATCTGTATCGACACAGGTCTTGGATTTGACTATATGGACGGAGAGACGCTAAAACAGAAAGGAGCCGAGAAACTATCTCCCGACCAAGTAGTGAATAGCATCGATACCCCACCTTCGTATTTGGTAAGCACACAGATTCCTCATAATTTCTGTACTCCATCTTCGTTTCTGCTCGGCGGCGTCACGCTGTTCTGCTGCGCGCTCGCCTGCCAGCGTCTAGCCCGGGCCATAGAAAGCACACTAATGGCATTCATACTTGACATGGCTAGTGGTTGGCATAATTATTTGACTGTGTCCATAGCCGAGGCTTTCGAGTATCCAACACATCGTCTTCTTCGCCCACCGTTTTATCTCTCGTATAAATAGACACGGTTGTATGCATAGCCGGTCCTGCCATGCATCAGAGCATATCTTCAGCTCACATTGCAATCCTATTCTTGGCATGCTTTCCCTTGTAGGAGATGCTTGGGTTCTCTCTGTTTTTCCCCTGCGTTCTTGTCGGTCCCCAGGTGACCTACAGACACTTCCGGTGAGTACTACAATTGCTCTATTAGTTTATTTCATGTTTGTTAATAGTAAATTACTGCGGTCAGAGTTGCGTCTCTGGCTGTGGCCGAACTGGTTTGGGGGGTGAAGGCGAGTGGTAGTGAATTTGCCCGCCAATATTTTCTTCACGCTCTCTGTTTAATTCCCTGTGTGAAGAATGATTGCTATAGAGGTACGAAAGCAATACTATAGTTACCAAAGTATAAATAGACCCATCGACGTAGTGATTTTGTGTGCACAGATGGCCCATTTATATCTCAGAGTACCGTCTGGTACTGGAACTTTTATTGGCTTTTGTTCGTCTGTTCGCTACTTTTATCGAAACAAATGTCTTATTGCACTCGTGATTGTGTTCCATCACGTGTGTGCAGATATTGATCATGTACAATGGTTTTGTGCTGCATGCTCCGAGTTTTCTTTATTCTACGCTTTTCGTTGCACAATGTTTTCATGATCAAAGGCAATCTGTGTGTTTCTGTACCGCTGTATCAACATTCTTCACTTATCAACATCCTCTCTGCCTGTCGTAACATGGTTTTCTTCTTTTTACGTAGAAGTTATCTTGATACGTATATTCCGGGACACGGTGGCCGGCCGACGCGCAGGGAACATTTGATACCAGCGTTGTACAGTTTTGCTGAAGGTGAGTTGATATAACTCTTGTATATAGCGTATGTCACCACGTAAAGTCCTTATCGTATCCGTTAAAATGTGTTTGATGTAGAGAAATTTACCTAGCCTATTTTGATCGTTTGTACCTTTTCTGCCGGCTCTTTGTATGGCATGTAACCGTACATGGCCTATAAAACTAGGCTGTTGAAGTTCACGAACACTTCAACTTGGTAGCTTGGAGGATACCGATTTTCTCGGAAAACGCTACTGAAAATTGTCAGCGAGCCGGGCCTTGCCGCATCGTACAAGCAAATTAGAGCTACATATCCTTTTCAAAAGCGTGTCACATGCTTATTCTTTTCTTGTGTGGTTTTGTGCAGGTATCATGTACTTCGTCGGATCGCAAGTGCTCAGCTACCCCGCCGAACACTTCTTCTCGCAAGAATACCAACACGAGGTATGGGAGCCAGATCAGAGTACTGCTCGTATTTGTACCATGTTGTGTGGTCTGTGTCGGTGCATTGGTGTGACATGTATCTTCCTCTGTGGAGGCACTGGTGAGTAGCGTGAAACGAACGAGGGGCCGGGGGGCTTCTCCCCTGTGCGCGCGGATTCAGGGGTCTGCGCCGATTCCTTAGCACTCGCAGCATTGCTTTACTTTAGATCTTTAGATCACAAGAGTTCATCTGATTATCAGTGCACTGCGAAGGAACAGTACCCGCTTCAACTTGTATGCACCGCCCGTTCCCAAGCTCAGGCGTTCTTTCTGCACAGTGTGTGGGTTTCTTCTAGACTGAACAACGATGGATGTCGGTCATCAGTTGGTTAGTAACTACTTGACATACTCCGTGATGCCTCTATCGGAGCACAGTTCTGATTTATCCCAATTGTATTGTAACACAGTGGAATCTCTGGGAGAGATATCAATTCTTTTTCCTGCATTCTATAACCTTTTTCTGGAGATATTTCGGGTGCTGGAAGCTGGCCGAGTCTGCATGCCAGTTAACTGGTGCTGCGTATCTCGGCAGGAACGAGAACGGCAAAATCCATTGGTATGTGATCGAATCGGTGCGCGAGTCTTCAGAACATATACGATATTTATATGTGTGTGTTTGTGGATTATATAAATTATAAAATGTGCACCTAAATGTACTTGTTCTTATATATATATATATATATCGCGAGTCAATATTTTAGCATTGTCCATATATGTCTCATTCATGGCTCTAATTGGTGGGGCTTATAAATTGCTGAAAAGATTTAAAATCGCATTTAGCTGAATTCTCCACGGTATAATAGTGCCGTTACTGTGAGGATCCATTTAGTACATACAGTTCTTACTTGTAGAGCACCTTAATTCGCTCAGGGGCATGTAGTGTGCATTACTCTGTAATTTAAACGAACATGTGCTGCTTTTTTCTTGCAGTGTATCATTAATTTGTTTCACTGAGCAGTTCTGATGTTCTCCATTGCACGTTCTTAAATTCAAACACAGGGGCTTGCACAATTTCCACTCTTGGCGATTCTTCTCAGGTATCAACCTGGATGAGATCATCAAAACGGTATGTGTAAGCTTATGAGAATATTATGGTCGTGATATCAGGTTTTCCAGTCAGTACCTATGAATTTTATATGGGAATTGCTTCTATTTGTTTCTTGGTGTACTCAGGGTTACCAACCTTTACCTGGGTATGAAGTTATGGATTGTTCGCTTGCTGCGGTGAAGATTGGTATAGTTTTCCTATTGGCGACGATACCACATGCATGTATTTCTGTGTGTGCATGAGTGTCAAGTAGTTAGCTTCGCTTCGACTCCGGTTGTATATACACCAGTTCATCATGAATTCACATTTTGGCTGGTGATTGTCACCAACTTTTGTTGTGGTGGCTGCATATGTGGGCTGCGCTGTCGTTGTGCTTTTGAGTGGTATTAAGATCGCGTTTCTGTTTGTTTCAATTTGGAATAAGTAAAAGCGAACCCGCCTTGAAACGGGAAACAGAAATGCATATCGCAATGCACTATTCTATCAATGTCATCATACTCATGTCGTGACCACTAGAAAGTACTTACACCTTCAGATCAACTCGTCTGCAGAGAACCCTTGTCTGTATTGTCACACCAATCTTTACTTAAAGTTCCATACACGCACAAGCGTGCCCAAGCAGCCTGCTGCACAGAAGTGTAGATACACCTCCCCGTTCATTTGTATCAATGACGAACATAAAAGTTTTATCGGCCGCTCATCTGTCAACGCCCATTGTATTGCCAACCCATTCTAATGACACTGTAAAGCGGCTGGTCTCACTCATCTCCACTCCATTGAATTTCTACAGTTCAATATCAATACCAATTATTGGGTGATGCGTATTGTATTCAAGCGACTCAGATGGCTAGGCAACAAGAACGCCTCTCAACTGGGCGCTCTCTTCTTCCTGTAAGTGCCCATACCTGAGTTGTATATGTAGCACGACATGTGTACGATATGTATAAGAGTATTCTCCTTGATGTTCGGACAGCATATATGTGTCTGGCAGGTATCCCCGAAACGCTCTGGTGTAGTCCGCAGTGATTGGATCTCAATGCGTTCAAGTCTTTTTGAGTTGCGTCACTGATGTACGTCAAGACGGTCCTTCTTTCACCAATGCCCGAGACATGTAGTCGATTCCGTTTATGCTACAGTGTCGAATGAATTTTACAGATTTCGCGCATTTTACAGTATGCTTAGCCCTACATTCGCTACAGAATGGAGAGACTCGTACGTTTCTTTTTTTTTCTTGCCAATTCCGAGTTCATGTTATTTCATACTCATGTGCAGCCGGCCTCGATATTTGGAGAAAATAGTTGCCTGAAAATCACCTGCTCATTTCCCCATTCATCATCATACTACAGTGCTATATGGCATGGCTTCCATACTTCCTATTTCCTTGCGTTCGGCATGGAGTTCTACGAGGTATGGTTTCCAGCTTATGTTGTTTTTTCCCGAATTTATTTTGCGGTGCTAAGGGGACATCGTGATATTCAAATACATAGTATATTTTAGAGAAAGGGGCCTTTTAGGGTAATTAAATACATAATACGTTCTAAAGACAGTGGAGGGCCAGGGTATATACTTCCTGACGACTTGCGGTGGTACTCTTGGCATTTTTCATTCTTTTTGTTGCTATAAGAAATTCTTATCATTTTCACTGAACTACACAACTACAGCTCTTCGCTGAACGAGGTATCAGGAAATGGGCGTCAGGTTTGATCGAGTATGTTGACCAATCACCAGCCCCGATCCGCTTTTCAGGAATGCTATTTGCCTGGGTCAGCAGATGCACATTGGTATGATTTTTTCCAATTCCTCTACTTAATTATGAGCCTATTTATCGCAGTTGATACTCGTATGATTTTTGTGGCATCCCTCGTGCTGATTTTAATGTATTACAAACCACATTGCAATGTTAATTGCATGTATAGGACGATCACGCAAATTAGTATTCCAACTAATTGAAGATGCTTTGTTCACTCCAGCTGGGCAACGGTGTCATTCTATTCGAGATGCTCGACGTGATGAAGGGTTTGGAGGTTCACAAGTCCCTATACTTCCTCCCCACCATACTTCCCACTATCTACCTGATAATTCCCATGGTATGTTTCGCATGAAGATCTGCTTTTACTGATACTTTACAACTAGTAATATTATATTGATATTTATATATAACACGTAATGGGTTATATATATATATATCTATATAACACGTAATGGGTTATATATATATATATATAACACGTAATGGGTTATATATGTGTGTATGATAAATATATATATATATATATATATAATCCATTACATGTGCGCAATCTCTCTTGTTGTTGCGTACTCTTAGATGCAGAGCCAGTTCGCCGTTCCAAATCATGTGTACTCTTTGCATTGTTGTTCCACTAAATTTAACCACCTCTTCTACATTGCAGGTCCTACCACCCCCCAATGCGGAAGAAGAAAATTTCAGTCGCAACCACCGATGACTTGAAGAAAGATCAGAAAAAAGAACTTTAGTCGAAAAATGACTTAGGAGCACAATTAATGTCGCAGCGAACTTATAATGTGCAATTAAAAGGTGTAGTAAGCACTTCATTTACACGATCGTAGAAGGTTTCTGACTACTATGAATAAAATTAGGATAGATAATCTCATCTATTTAATTTTCTTGTCGACGATAAGAATCATCAATGACAAACAGGTTGTAAATCAATTACATAGCGCATTTTTAATCCTAATCAGGAATACGACAAATGCAGTTGTGGCTTTCATTGATATCCATTGTTGTGAGTGTATACGCGGAATTCTCGGAGCTTGAGGATATTCGCTTATATTTATTACTATTTCAATGTGGAAAGGAAAATGAGTTCTGCTTCTTTTGAATCCGGATTCTGATAATTCTCCCCAGTCTCCGCCTCTCCGCTCCGGTTGAAGGTTGGTCCGGATTTTCCTTCGGCACCCCGGGGCCCAGACAGTATGTAAAAATTTGTATATGTTTTTTATTTTGTTTTTGTGATTTTTCTATTTTCATAGCCTTCTTCTTCTTCAATTTTCAAAAGGCTATAAATAATGCTTTTAATAAAAAATATGTGTTTATGTATGGATGTTCAAAAACAAATAAACAAAACAAACAGATAAATACATATTTGTTTTAAGAAACTAAAAGTCTCATACGTAGCCTTCTGAAATCAAACACGCACTCAGTCTCATAGTCATAGGATCTTGTGTGTGTGTTTGATTTCAGATGGCTGTGTAAATATGTGTTTTTATTTATTGTATACAAAATCTAAATTTATAGAACTCTGTACATGAGAGGCACAGGCTATGTATTTTTCATGGCCCTCTGGAATTGGATGAGTCTCCGCGTCTGGCGAAACAAGTTGCATCGTCTCTGGGAGCCGGAGAAAGTCATTTTTGATTTTTCGAGAGAGAAATAAATTAAAAAAATCCAGAGGACCATTTTTTTTTTTAAACGGATCTCTTTGTTTTAAATAAAGTTAAAAATTTCGTCTATATTGAGACAAAATATGCATTTACATATTTACATACAATGTACTATTCACGAGTAATATTTAGTCGTTGAGTGAAGTCGCAAAGTTCAACTCTCGGAGTCTCGACTCGACTTGTAATTTTGTAATTTTGATGTATAAAATTCGAATTCAAAGGAATTTCGAATTTAACTTTTGACAAGAAAATGCCATGGCAACTGAATTTCGAAGTATATGACTGATGCGTGACATGTTGTTATTTGTAAATTTAATAACAAAAGACAGCTATCAGTGCGACTGCGACAGTGTCTACTTTTGTTTTTGATGACTGATCCGGTGATCCCCAGTAATCTCAGGACTCAGGACTCTCAGTGACTCAGTCTCAGTGTCTCACTGACTATCATCTGATTCTCAGTGATGTCAGATGTGGTGACTTAGCGACGCGTATTTTCAGCTCTTTAATTTTTAAAAAATACAAAAGATTGGTCCACGTTTTCTTACCATTAGATTTATGCACAGAAATTACAAATGGTTTCTCATTTCTGAGGAGTTTAATTTTTTTTGTTTCATATTCAAAGTGAACAAATTTTTTTTTAAATTATAAACTTAAACGACATCTACAATTCTACATACATGTTGTTTAATTTTACAGAAACAAATCAAAAATAAACGTTTCAGCGTTACCCGTAAATATTATGGCCTGAAAATTTTCGCTAAACAATTCGACCTGGATAAGTACACCTATTCCTATATTTTGGTCACAAAATGCAACACTGACCAATGAAAAACGATGAAAAAAGGTTGGCAGTTGACACTGGCTGTTACATAAATACAACAAACTTTTAAAAACAAGTGAGCACGGCTTAGCCACTTGACAGTTTGGCTGGTCACTTGCTGTTGAATACTTCTTTATTTTACAACTGTAGTGTTTAAGTGTTATTTAATACTGTATTGACTCGTGACTGTGTTTTGTGTAAGTATTGTAATTCGTATCCCCGCTTTCATTTGTAACTAAACATTCAGGGAGATGTTGTATCGGTGGTCCGGAACGACCTCATGCATAAAGGTCGAAAACGATTCAAACGACAGATAGTCTTCATTGAGAGGCTCTACTGCAATAGTGT